GACCGCACTCAAGACCAAAATGGAAAGAGATGCGTATGTTCAGGGCCTGACGAGGTCAAGTAATAGGCGCTAACAATAGTATCCTTGGGCCCTTCTGTAGCTCCGAATGGTAGGCCCGGAGCAGCCGACCAAAACCGTTCGTTGTTGAAAGGGACGATTTCGACTTCAATCAGAATTTCCACAATTCTACCAGTAAGTACTTGCATCCAACCGTGTCCGCTCTTTGACTAATTTCTGGGGTTCTATATCTTCAAGTTAATAGCACGCATAGCATGCCTACCTGAAGAATGTTCCAGTGCTTTGTTTGGGCATTTCCAATTCAATTGAGTTACTGACCAAGGATTACGTCAAAGGATCGAAAGTTTGTTCAATCGCAGCATACTGTGCCACTCTCAATCCCACATTCAGTGTTACACAAAATATAAAAGAAGGCCACACGCATCCGTTTAAATTAAAATATCATAGCAACTTATCAGCTTTGTCTCTGGAAAATGCGCAAAATGAAGTAGACTAAATAAATATTTCCAGTGTCTTTTCTAACTTAAGCACATTAACATGTCTAGTTTTAGTACACTGCTTCACGAGTAGCGAGATTATATCTGCTGCTGGTTACATGGGGAAGAAGTCGAAGAGGCGGAGGCTTGACTTGCCAGACGTTAAAGATTGGGTTCCCTACCAGCCATTCTCTAAAAATAGTAACTCATTAACAGTAATTTACCATTTTCATTAGAGGAGGAAATTTTGAAAAAGTTTGAAGAGGCTAACGAGGCTGTTGACGTCCCTGAGGGTTGGAAAGAACCTAAATTTAATCCGGAAGACAATCCGAATGGAAAATTATTTGCACAGTCGACGTTTTCTACTCTGTTTCCGAAGTACAGGGAGAAGTACCTGCGTGAGGTCTGGCCGGCTGTCGTTAAAATTTTAAAGGAGCACGTAAGAAAGTGATTATTTTGTTTATTCGGCTTTCCATACAAAGTTTAACTTTATTGTCTGATTCGGAGGTTGTTATAGCCTTAAGGTTCTTTTGGTTTTGGTTGCATTAGTTCCTTTGGCGATCTGATTCTCGACCAACATGGGTTTTCGCTAGTATTGCAAGTAATTCAAAGGCTATCATACTGTACCTGTCTTACCTCTTCATTTTGTTCACAACGTGGGTCATTATATAAAAAAGTAGTTACCCTTGGCTAAAAGTCACTTTAGGGTCTTTTAGTTTCAAGAAGAACCCTTTCCTTTGACTTAATACCCTTTTCTTCGCCGATCTGTGCATCATTTGTTTTTGAGAAGGCAGCTCGCATTTGCGTGACATGGATGCTGGAATTCAGTTTGCGTCAACTGCAATTATGATACATGTTATGCTACACTACCTAGATCTTGGATTTTGGTTACCGCTCATGAGTACTTTACTCGTATACAAGATCAGTATTATTAGCCGGACCTGACCATGCAATCCCCCCTCCCTCATTATAGTAACATTATTAGCGGGCTGATTTGAAAGGTTGTATTATTATGAGGTCCCAATCTCCTAGCACATTTAATTTCTTGACTGAATTGACGCGCCCTTTGTACATGCTAATATGTTTGTGTGAGAGGCCTTCAGAGTGCTCATTCTGGCCTTCATCCACCTAACAGGCGTTTCCACCTCATCCTTATCTTCAGGATATTTCTGACCATTCAGTGTCGTTGTCCGAAAGATGTGCCCAAAAATATATGCCTATAAATTATGTTCTCTATTTTTTTGCAAGACTATAGATGACGATTTCCTGTTTCCTTTTGCATCAAAACCTACAAACCTCTGTTTACAGCACATAAATGCGGAACTAGACCTCGGAGAAGCTACGATGGAGGTGCATACTACTCCGAAAACATTCGATCCATTCATAATCCTTAAAGCCCGCGATCTTATCCGACTACTGGCCCGTTCGGTTCCGTTGGATATTGCAGCGCGCGTTCTTGAGGACGAGGTTTTTGCCGACATTATCGAGATCAAGCTGCGAAATCGTGAACGCTTCGTGAAACGGCGGAGCAGGTTGATCGGCGACGAAGGCAATACTTTAAAGGCCATTGAACTGGCTACAAACTGCTATGTCATGGTGCAAGGCAAAACCGTGGCTGCGGTTGGCCCCTATAATGGTCTGAAAAAGGTGAGTAAACTTGAATTTTTTTATTCAAGCGATATATTCCCTTCCGAATTTGTTGCTTTTTGAGAGGTGTCTTGGTTGGTTCGCTTTGATGAATCACCCGCCAGGTAAGACCTTGTGTCATGGTCCGCAGTGACACATCCGTAAAATATTTGTTTTCCACTAATTTTAAGTCTGTATTTCTGTGGACCGTATCAACAGTATTAAGAAAACTTCGTTTTACAACTTCCATGTCCTATCCCGATACTACTACCTTAGGAAGATGTTAAGAAACCTCTCATCTAGGGTTCTGTTGTGACTGCCCTTCTAGAACTATGAGCATTGCCGCAGTAGACAATTATAGCCTGAGCTCGGGATTGGCTTGTGTAGACTGGTCCGGCTTTCTTAAACTCAGTTCTCGCCAACCCTGACCCTAGGTTGTTTCTATATGACAGTTCACATATTCACATGCAGCTAGTTACTATCATCGTCTTCATTCGCCCTGCATTTGCTTTCCCGTTTTTGAATACTTCTCTAATCATTGTTAGTGCTCATGATATTCTAGGCAGCAATCAGACTAACCGTGTTACCATTTCTCTATTGGACAACACAATCACGCATTGACTTGGGGATTGCTGCACGTTCAACTTTTTTTTTAGGATGGCGCATGATTGTAAAGGTTCGATTATTTTTTGCGTGCTAGGTCCCCCATACGTAAACTGGGTTCCCAGATAGGTCGGTATCCTACAAGAAAGTGATTATAAAGAATTAGTTTAGTAACAGTTTGTAATCACCATGTACACTGCTCCCATCGGGCCTTAAGTCATTTTAAACAGTGGTCGGTGTGTCATATATCAATAGCCCACATTCGGACACCACGGCAACTCCCGACTCTTAGGTGCTTGTCCGTTAAATCCGGGATTCTAGTTATTTGGTTGGCCTTAGAGATCCTGTAACAACCCGTTACCCGTAGGCACATCTGTTAGCCCTTCCTTTCGCTGAGTGTCAATACCGCTCGAAAGTGAATTTTTGCGACGAATTTGATCTCTTCATTGTGCGGATCTAAATACGAGATAATAAGATGCACAAACGGTTTCAGTCCTTGACCACTATGCAATAGGAAATCCTTATGCGAGCTATAAGGGGCTTGCCAACTTTACAACTGCATAGTCCAGACCATTTATCCTGATGATCGTTACACTCACAACTAATTCGACCACTTATTTCGCCAAGCACACTGGGAAGACTCATACTTAAATCGCTGTGCAATGTGCAGTTTCGAAAGTGTTAGCATGAATGACTCTGGCCACTTTGTTTGGACTGGCGAGTCAACGACCTTTCTGTTTTTACTAAAACAGCACTAAACGCATTACCTCGCCGCCTTTCTAACCGCGTAGCATTCAGGGGTACCACGACGGCCACAGACAGACAAGACGTTGACCGGGCATTTGCTACAGAAGGCAACAAAGTAGTTTTTCGAAATTTCCACTGCTTTCTGACAGGAAAACTAGATAGCCTATGTGCTCACTAATAAACTCCTCGTATACTGGAAATTTGTTAAAGCGAAGTCTGACTGCAAAATTATTTTTCTCTGAAAAAAACCATAGGGTATTATTAGTTAGAATTTAAATTAAGTAACATTCTTAGTATTTTTCCACTTTATTGATAAGTTTGACGAAACAGTTTCCTCAGCTGAAATTAACTCTGCCATTCTCGCTTCTCTCCTCCCCCACTTGCAAAGGTTCGCCAAGTTGTGAACGACTGCATCTACGACAATATTCATCCAGCCTATTACATCAAGCGGTTCGTAATCATTCAGAAACTCATGGCAGATCCGACTAAGAAGAATGTATCCTGGGACAAGTATCTGCCACGCATCAAAAAGAAGACTCTTAGCCGGCGCAGGAAGCCGCATAAGGTACGTCTCTAGCTAGCATGCGTGTAACGCCTGATATTTGCCATCTCGGATGCGCTAGTTAGTTTCTCCGAAAAAAAATAATTTTATGTGGTTCTGGGGTACGCCATTTTCAAGGGGCAAAAGTAGCTTAAATATTGCACCTCATATACTCCTAGTCCCAGTATTTTGCCCTAAGGAAACAGGGGTTATTGGGGTTTTGAGAGTGGGGAAACAGGATAGACAGTGAAGGAAATTTGTAGAAGTAATTGTGAAGTGGAAAAATGTAGATGAATTTGTTTCTCCGCGGCCGCTGGGATTAAGTTGTTCTGCATGTAAATTGGAGGTGTGCGCGGCGCTTAGCGCTGCGGACTATACTAATCTAACTCCAAAACGGCAAGTTGGACCTCAGATAAGTTGAAGTAGACAAACTCCTAACCACCACTTCTACTTTTTTCAGGAATTTCAAGAAACATGCTTTTTGATAATCGGATTTATCCGCAATACGTTAAATGATAATACAGATTAAGAAAATCTACAGATATAAATCAACAACACT